TGGATACTACCTTTGGTAAAAGCTGATGAACACAGTAAAAAAAACCCAAACAAAACGGGGCGGGGGGGGGGGGGGCCTACAGAAAAATAAATAAAAGAATGGAAGCAAAAATTTTAATTTTTTCATTAAATCTCAAATACAGACAAATAACATGGGACAGATTTTTTACCAAATCCGTTTCTGGAAGCTGTAAGGTACCCTTAGACTTCTACAGCTTGCTTCTGAACTTTTAATGTCACAGGCCTTGACACTTGCCAAACTTAATAGACAAGTTTATCTGAAATGGCTAGCTGTTATGTTTTGAAATCTTGTTCCAAGATTTGTTTTATTTTAAATAAAATTTCATAATGACTACATGGAAATCCTCATACATATCAGTCTTGCAAACTCCACTTACTGCTTTTTTTCAGGAGCTACTGACAAAGTTGCTCACAGCTCTCCATTGTCTTCCACCACTGTGTAAGAGGCAGGTGAGTATTTTGGCTCTTCAGCTGGTCATGACGCAAACTTTGACAGATACATGTATTCACTAACACAACACTCACGTCATGATCTGTTACCCTGAATTACCTACAGAAAAGCTTTCCACAGCAAAGTTTATCCGAGTGCCAGTGGGAAAACAAACTAAAAAATAATCAAGAGAGATTAAGGCCCATATGATAGAAATAAACAGCATTTAAAACACTGAAGAAAATATAAAATATTGAACAATTTGATATAAACCAAGAATGCAATGCAAGTACAGAGGATCTGGCTTCTTTGCTTACCATGCTTGGAAAGGAGTGATATTTTGCAACTTTAGTCCCGCAATTATCCTAAGCAAGAAATTTCAACAAATAAAAAAAGGGACATGTTTACTCTTCTGATGCAAACTACTCCTATCATGTAAACGGTTGTTAAAAATGAGACCTAGCTAATGGCTTAAATGCTTTAATTATATTAAACATGCCAAGGTAGCAATATCTTTGGCAATGAGAGAACTGCAGAGTTTAAGAATGAGATTATTAGATTTACTAAGATCAGAAACATTTTTTGTGTGCAGTACATATATTTCATTCAAACATGTTCCATTATAGTTTCCACACCTCCTCCAGGATTATGAGTACAGTACCTAGTCTGTACTGTTTGACTTCTATGATTTTACTCAAAAAAGTTATTCTTGGTTCTTACTTAGTCTTCAAATTAGTTTAAATTTGTAAGCCAAGACAAACAAAAATTTCTGGTTTGTGACCAAAGTTAAAATGCTGAACCCTTAAAAGAGATAGCCACTGGTTCATGATAAAATAGGACAAGTTTAAACTCTTAGGTTAAAATACAGCCATAGCACAGATTTATCTATTCCAAAATTAATTTTTCAAAATATAATTCTCTGAACATGTTATACATTAAATATTGAGGGAAATTTCCCTGGAGCTAAAATTTTCCAAGAACACTAATAATCTTCATTAAAGAAGTAAAACAAACCACATAGTATCTGGAGACAAAAAGGGGGTAGAGTTGGGGTCCCCTTACTACAGAGTAGCCTTACCACCATTAAGATGCAGGTTTCCCCCTTAATCTTGAAAAATATGTTCATATTTACATACAGTATACACACAGTTGAGGCAATTGATTGTCAACACGTGACAAATGTATGTACCTATCCACACACAAGTAAACCTCACATGGTGAGAAAAAACCCTGTCCCAGTAAACTCCAGTATTCATAAGTAGTGCAAATAAATACTTTGTCAGAAAACAATTTTTTTTCTCACTATTTTGATGTTAAAACAGGTAATTATAACCATGTTAAAGCTAGCAGGAGTATGTTGGAAATGTTGTATTTAAGACCGACGCACTTGCAAACTACAAATACTAGATCTAATGCTTACTGGCTGCAACATGATGTTCAGCATTACAGAATGAAGTATGCTGTTAAAAAACTTTTCCAAATTCACATCAGAAAGGGTGTTCAAAGAAATCTACATTTAAAATGGACAGTGACACACAAAGTCTCCAAATGAAAACTAAAAGGATAATACAGCAATTTAAACTTTCATCTTGCAACATTCATTTTCATAGGTATTTTTACTTCATCACTTTGCTGCCCACAGGATGAAAAAAAAAGGCTCATCATTCAACCAAAAAGCTGCTCACAATAAACCCCTGAAAGAGATAATCAAGCTGTAGTTAGCAATCCCAACATTTTATATTTTCTTAAAATTATAAAAGCCCAACAAAAACGAGTTACAAAATGGCAGCATACTGTGATGTGGTAAAAATCATATCAAGGAATAATTCATTTATCCCTGCTTACATGTATATATACATCAAGATATAGTACCCACACTTCCTCACCTAAGAATTACATGTATGTGCATGCATGTGCACATACACAGGGAAAAATCGTAGTGTTCTGCTTTTTGACCTTCTTTTATAAAGCTGCAGTTGCACTGAAATACTGCAGAAATCTAAATCTAGTGCCTCATGTCAAGTACCAAATGTTCTAAAACAAGACACAGCAGAGTGAATTCAGGATAAAGAGATTTAAGTCTAAATATTTGTCACAGGTGTCAGAAAATTTAAGTATGTTTTGTACTTTGTTTAGTACTTAGCATATATAATCAGAAAGCCAGCAGATTATTCCCTCAACCCATATCCCAGACACTTCTAATTTTATTTCTGCCACAGTACTTTGAAGTGTACTGAACTTCAGTGTATAAAGTTTTGCTACGATCTTAACACACCTTGGCATAGTTTAAGACACATCTAGAAGCATTAACAATAAACATGATACACAGCACTGGCAAAGCCTGTTATTACAGCTGGTTTGCAGATATTAGTTATGACTCGTTTTGTAAGATAGATGTTGAACAGTACTTGTCTGGAAAACAACAAAACAAGCTCCCACAACTGAAACATTGCACTAAAAGAGTAATTTTGAGAAGTTATAGATGTACCACATCAGCACACATCAAAAAATATTTTTTTTTTACAGGGATAAATTTGAACTCTTCAAAAAGCCTTATATGGGGTAAGTATATATACACAAGAACAAACCAAAATACAATGGATGAAACAATAACAAAAGGCACATCATCAAAATGAGAACTGTAAAAATATCTTAAAAGGTAGTTTGACTAAAGTTTTAACCAATTCAAATTTATGCGCGTACATTTGACTTCCCTATCTGAAGTCACTGAGCTGTCTCGCTTTCCTGAAATAGTTTAATTGTGTGGGACTCCACACAAGAACATTAAAAAAAAAAAAAAAAGGCTTGTAAAATTTGGCCTGATGCCAATTTAAGTGTCCTAAAACTTCTGGAGGAATGCTTATAATGGCAAATGTAGAAAGTAGAGAACCTTGCTAATCAACAACTCTACTTTTTAAAATACTAAAATAAAGTAATTCTTAAAAAATTAGCTGACACTCCTGACCTTTTCTTTCCCAAAGATTTAAGCAAATTATTTGGTCCTTTTCAATTTACAGTGATGGCTCTTTAATAGAATTTCCTTTGTGATGGTCTCCACAAAATATAAACTTCGTACTTTCAGCCACAACTTACCAATTGTCTCCACTAGCAAAACTTTATAAAATAGAGCTTAACCATATACAGCTTTTGACATTTTTACAGAAAATACCCTGTAGCTTAATCTCAACTTTGCCTTAGTTCCATCTCTGTGTGACTGGTGGTCCTTAAAGATTAACTTCAATTTAGAAACTGTAAGGTTTTCTTTCTTTCTGATGATTCTATTTACTCTCTAACTGAATTTCTGCATCAGTCCAGATGCTGTTTAATCCACTTATGGATGTGATATGAAGACTAGACTGCCAAAGTGACTTGTCAAACCACAAAAAAACCTTTCAAATATTTAAATGAGTTGTAATGTAAATTTGGAAAAAAGTTCTATTTGAAATAGAGATTCAAAAGAAAAAAACCAAACCAAAACCCTAAACCAACTACCAGCAATGCAACACCATGTCATTGTCCTGAATTTCTTCAAACTATCATTCAAAGATAGCCTGCTATTTATAACTGCTTATGTTTAACCTTCACAGTGACACTGAAACCAAAGTGCCCACATAAAGATCGTAACTCTTTCCTGTGGGTTTACAATTAGTAAACTTCCAGGATATCATACATGACAAGCATAGAGGATGAACTTTCCCCTTTTCTCTCTAGCAATCCAAAAAGTGATGGAGAGAGAATGACAAACATTCTCCTATGTAACCAGAAATGTGCTTCTAAGCAGTGTTCTCTAGCCTAAGTACCAGCCAGTGCCCGTACACCAGTCATACACATTCAAGGCCTGGCTCAACAGCATGAGTTCTGAATTTTCTAGAGTAGGGCTGATCCACTAAAATAAGAGTTAAAAAACCTTAACGGATTATAAATACCAAGGCAGTGAAGTGTGATTCTTCTGGGAGAAAAGAACTGTCAATACCCCTTTGCGCAAACGGTGTTCCTAGAAAAGCATTTCACATTGAAGCTTCAGTGTTTCTAGCAAACTATTGTCTCTATCCCTGAGACAGCCCCTTAAGAATATGGTCTGTCTGGGCTGCAGGATTCTTCAAATGACTCTATGGTTGAATTCAGGGACACTGAGAAAGCAGCTGAGAGGAGCCGGGGTGTCCAACAGCCATGATACCACAGAAAGCAGCCTGAGAAATACTCTACCCGAATACACCTTTCAATTCAGTGATCAGCACCTCACAACAACAACAACAACAGAAATGGAGCAGAGCTAGCCATTAGTTCCTGGGAAAGTAGTGTTTCCCTCCCACTTACAAACCAAATTGCTTTAACAGCATGGTGTTGTCTAAATTTTAGTCTATATGCAGAATGACCCTGTGTCCTGGAGGGGAAGACATGTAACATTACATATGGCTACAACGCCATTAGAAGTGCATTGTAACCGACATTATCTACTTAGAATCCTCTCTCTGAGGGAAAACAACTTGTTAATATGCATGTCTCAGTTGCTGAACATCAAAAGCTTCTGGGATGAGAGACTGGGGGCAGGCAAGAAAAAACTACCCTCGTTTTAATGAAAAAAGTGCTGTAGGCAGCCAGGAGCAGCAATGACAATCCCCTCCCCAGAATCAATTGCACAGACTCAGAGAGGTCCAAAGTCACACTAGAATCTCTGAGGCACTCCTGGTTCTGAGAAAGAAAAGTCATGATCCAGTAGTCTTTGCAGTACTGTAGACTGAGAAAACAAACCCGTTTCTATTTCTTAACAAAGCCAAAGCATCATCTCATAGGGATCACATTCACCATTTCCGCCGGTGTCTCCAGTCTCACAGTGTTGAAATGGGACTGATCAGCCTACGATGGATTGCACATCACCCAAGGAGAAAGGAAGGCATGGAAAAAGGCATACAGTACATTATATACTGCTTCACAACTATGTTTACAAGGGAAGGGGGGGAGGGATGAAGGTGAGGGAAGAATTATTGCTGTTTCAGTAATACAGTATGATAGCTAAACCAAATCAAACAAGATCACAACAGTCAGTATTTTCACACTGCAGGATGATGGTTCATGTTTTGCCTAAGGATGAACGTGCCTGGGGATTAAGGAGAAAGAGGGAGTCCTAAGGAAGGGAGTCAAAGTTACACCTGGGATATCAGCTGCATATTGAAACTTGGAGATCGAGACTGCTTGGTTAGGGGACCCCCTGGGGGAAGGAGATCTTTACCTTCCCCAGCTTGGCCTAGTCGGTCCTCCTGTAGGCTGATAGTTGAAAACCTATTGGTGTTGCCAGCTGCTAGATTGGTAACACCCTCTGTACCAGCTCCAACACTGGAGCCTGCTTGACTGCCATTCACATAGTCAAATGATTTACTGGAGGAAGCACTGGCGGTCCTGATCAGGCTCAAACTGTTGGCTTTTGGCACCACCTGCCCAGCAGGCAGACTGAGGTGTTTTTTAGTAGGTGTCATCTCAATTATATCTGCACCAAGGTCAGTCGATTGGTGCATGTACTGCTTCCGAGCTACTGAATCTCGAGGGCTCTCATTGGATTTTGCTGCAGAAGAGGTTTCTTTATCCTTAACAGAACGTCCACTTGCTGTTTTCCTTAAGCTGCCCTTCTGGGATACAGATGATAGAGGTTTGGTCCCAACTGGCTGGCTGCTGAGGGAAGCTCCTGATGAAAATCCTTCATCAGCATCATTAAGGTTCACAGATTCTTCTCTTCCATTTACACCTTCAGCATCTATTAAGAAAAAAGAAACAACCAAAAAAGACCCAAACCAATCAGAACACACAGCAAGCATTCAAGTTACCTGAAGACAAAGATGAGCACAGAATGTCAAAAGCAAGTTTCCACTTGCTTTAAAATTTCTGGTTCTCAGCCAATAATCTTCCTGTCATATTTAGCAGAGTAACGGAATCTAACAATACATACTCTCTGAGCTTGATTTGCCTTTCTTGTACATCACTTTGATCAGTCAGAATATCTCCCAAAATTTGTCTATAAACGAGAAGAATTAGGCCCCATTTGGTTAATTTGGTTTAGTTCTGTCTGCAGATAATGGTGCCCATTTTCCTCCTACATGTAGTTAAAAAAAAAAAACCACTAAAAAAAGAAAAAAAAGCCTTTCAGACTATTTTTATCCTATTTTGAGGCAATATCTAAGCATGTTCAGGATCTCTTCCAGTCAGAGTAAGCTCTGATGAGTGCTCGGTAAGCCTCAGAATTAGGCTACTTCCTAGGCCAGCAATCACAATGCTCCAACAGAGGTAGAAGGCTTCTGTTGTGTGTAGCTGGCACTTCAAACAATGTGACTATACTTTCTGTTGGAAATTAACCTAACTCCCAGTTCTCTCCCCTCCAGAGCTCAATCCTCCCTGCATTTCCAGCAAGCCTATCTAGGTGCTTCCACCATATTTGCTTTTATGTCAGCATCTAGATTTTTCAGAGAGAAAAACAACCCTTGTATTAAGAGAAATGTAACCTCTTTAATCAGAAGAGGCACTGTGCTTTTGACTGGAATCTCAAAGACAAAAAAAAAAAAAAGCTTGACAAACTTCTTTCTTAAATCCTTGTTTTCAGGCCTATAATATGATTAGGGCTGCACATGAAGACTTTTTTTTTTTCTTTTTAAATCCTATTCCAGTCCTTTTGCTAAGCTCCAAGTACTCAAAAGAAGAGTTATTGTTTCAGTAGAAAACTGAACAGCATTCAAATTTCAAAACTGAAAATGGAGCTTGAGTTTTTGCTCCATATATCTTGTTTCAATGGGAAAAAACCATACAGTTTAACCATGTTAGCAAAAAAGGAGACGTTCAGGCTATAAGGATTTTGCTTTTCTTTATAAAAGCTGTGGAGAAATCTGCAAAGTCTGTGGATCTGTCCCAGGTAAAGCCACTGTATTGCTTGCTCTACTGGCAGTTTGTTAAACCCAGCTTGCCACCAAGTACACATTTAAATCTCTTTTGTGGAATGGGGAAAAAGCAGTGGCAAGGATCTAAGAGATTCTAACATCTGAGTGGAAGCTCATCCTTTCATGCTGATTGTTAGCAGAGCACTAAGGAACATTTTACATTATGGCAAGCAGAACAGACACAAAGTTTTCAGTGTTGTTGCTGCCTCTGTGTAGCAGGAATATAGCCTGATCCAACTTCACATTTCTGAAGTGTAAAGCAAAAAGAAAACTTTACAGGGAGTTTTTATTATTCTGTTTTAAACTTACTACTTCTTTCCAGGAAACTTTGCCTTGGAATTACTGTTACTGTCTATCAGCTTACAAAAGATATTTAGCCGTCCCCAAATCAGACCATTCCCAGGCCTCTCTCAAGACAATGCAATGTGAGATTATTCTGTAGCCTTAAATAGTTCTGTTTGATTTATTAGCCTCCCAGAAGCAAAAAGGTAATATAGCTCATGTTACTGTAGTCTTCCTTCCTTGGTAAAGCCTTTAGCCTTAGAAAAAGAAGCTTCTTAGTTTTCAAGGGCTATTATTAAAATGAAGGGTGTGTTACTTGCTTTAACTTCCTGTAACCATATTTAAAATACATATACTTTCCCCCCATCCTGCCCATCCCATTTGGTCAAACTACGCCTTCATCTTCTCATTGAGACATAAGTGTATTTTCTTACATTAGAAAGTGATATATTTTATTCACAATCCACCATATCTCCATTCACTACCCCCTCCCTTCCCACACATAATCAAAGATACTAATAAAAGTACGATGTAACTGTAACATACTGAAAGCAAGAACACTTTTTCAATAAACCAACATTTATGTTTCTTTATATAATCATGCGAAGCTGGATGAAAGCGTGTTTGGTTACAAGCAGCAATAGCAGCAGCTGAAGTCCCCTCTCAAGCCCTTCTTATTCAAATGAAAGATGTGTAACTTGCAAGAAGGTATCTCCAGACAATACTGCTAAGCTTTTTGTTATTACAAGAACATTAGTCATCTTCAAAGTTCATGTTACAATGTTGCTGAGTAACAGGATGCTAAAACAGACATTCCTATTCAGGGGCAGTGAAGCAGAAGAGTTGTACCAAAAAAGGTGGCATTTTATCCACAAAATTTAAAGACAAGACTGAGAGGGGTTGTTGCAAGCTTTTGGATGTTGTAACTATACAGAGGCCCAAGCAGTCCAGCAGTGCTCAAAAATGAAGAAGATAGAGAAGACAACATGCAAGAGAATTTCTGTCTAGTCAGATCCATACACCTACAGAAGTTCTCAGTGGGATTGAAGTAATTCGGAAAACACATATTCTTTTCCCAATACATCCTATTTTTCCTCTAAAAACTGCCCTCAGGAAAAAAATAAAAAATGTTTGAGTCCTTACATACTCTGTTTAGGGGGAAAACCAGGACGAAGTCATAAAGTTTTCTTTCCCATGCTCCCCCCTCCCCCGACCAGTAAGACAATTAAAAAAGAAAAGAAAAACTAAAAACCTACTCATCCCAAGCACTCTTCTACTCTAAGGCCAGAAGAGGAAGAGACAGTGCAACCTGACAGAAATCATATCAGTTGCACTACAGTGCATGCTCAGGACTCTCACTGTTCTTTATCGGAAAAAGTCTGTCCCCAAAGAATTCGTTATTTATGCCTGTACATAATTAATCCTGTAGACGTAGATACAGCATTCTCCACTGACCCAAAATAGTGCACATAACCACAGCTGGTACCACCCGGAAATGGAATACCTTCTAAGGCATTACTGAGTCACTCTTGAAATCTTCTGCCTTTTTCTACTTATTGGGTCAAAACACTGATCTGAAGAAGGGGTTTTACACAGCTTTTTAAAGTGACTTTTATTCTGTTTATCTTTCCCATACCTGAAGGTTGAAAAGTCACTAGAAATCATCAGTCTCTCATTATATTGTTTGGTATCAAAATGGTATTTATAAGAGGGAATTCGCTAGCTGAAACTTTATGTGAAATCAGCATCAGTAAAATAATAGATCACTATATATACACACACAATTCTATACTGATAATCAAGCCAAACTCCATTCCTTGGCCTTGTCCCGGATGCTATCAACTGGCAGAATTCAGTTTGCCGAAGCATGTAATTATACATTGCTAATGTCACAGAAGTGAAGGGTACTTAACCCACTTCTATTGAAGTAAAGCATGTGGAATGATGCCTTATCCTAGAACATGCCAAATTATATAGATGTCTTAAAACAAATTAAGTCTAGAAGGCCACATCTTTATCAACTTCTTTTCCACTTTCTGTCTCTCCCAGAAGGCTCTCTGCAGCTGAGTACTTCTCCATATCCTTCAGGTCATGCACATGCAAAATTTAGTAAAATGGAGTAAGACCAACTGAACAAGTCAATTTAGAAGAAGACAGGACTCATTTACTGAGCATGCTCAAATTCACTATGCACCAGGGAGTAGATTATAAACCCGCGCCAAACATTTTAATGTGACTATCTTCTACTGAAGCATGATGTCTTAATTACTGTTTGATAGCAACTCTGATTAAGGGTAAGGATTCTGTGATAACACTACATTAAATCTCCAAATTCTCCAGATTATTGTTTCCAGAAGAACGAATCTTAAACCTAGGTAGCTCATATCCAAATGTGCAAATCAATCTCATTTATGATCAACTGATATGCTTACAGAGGCTGGAAATACCAAAGGAACGTTCAGATAGAAAAGATGACTTAAGATAGGAGAACACTTGAAAATGTGTTTAGGTAAATTTACAAGAAATTAATTCTCATCTCTGAGGAGAAATCATGGTTTAAATTCAGTACTCAAAACCCCGTCTTTTATGGAGTAAAGAGGAGAAAATGAATAGATGAACTGAAGCAAAATAAATTTCTACCAACTACTCTATCTGCTACTCTTGGATGCAGAGCAGACATACAAAGTCCTACAGCATTTGTGTGGACAGCATGACTGAGAAAGAAAGCAGTAATCGTTCCTAAAGTTTTCAGAAACATGACAACCCGATTTCTTCTTGAAAACACAAGCACTTTTTTGGCACTTGTCTTTAGAGCAGCCAGCTCATTCATATCAACAAGTTGTATGTGTATGAATTTTCAATTAAAGGATGACTGGCAAATAAAAACAACAGCAGTTGTACATCTGTCTTAGATAGGTTTGACTTTTAATGGGAACAGAATTCTTTCTTGGAAATTTAAAAACTGCAGATTAACAAGACACTATTGTAACTAAGTTGTAGCCAAATCCATTTATATGCTATACTGTCTACTTTTCAGGACTAGATTCATGTTCATCTGGTGCATTTTTTCCTTCTGAATACTAGATTAAACATGCTCAGTAATAGAAAGTTTCCAAGCAATCCCAAAGCTTTCGGCTATTACCCCTGTCTTTTTTAATTTTTTTGCCATGCCAAGCAGTCTTTCACCACACAGATGCAAGCCCCGGGCCAGCCCACGTGATAACAAAAGGTAGTACCTGACCTGATGTTAGGTATATAGGGGATGCGTGTATTGCAAAGAGAAGCTAATACACCCTGGGATAGCGGAAACACACACTAGAATGGAAAGAAGTTCTGCTTGGGGATAGGGAGCCAGGATCGTCCTCCAGCAACTGCCTCACTGACTTCTGCCTCCTCATCTCTGTCCTACCCTCTGTTGTGGCTGCTGCCAAGGTGGACTCCGGGAAGCCATGCTCAGGGGTCCTGTGCATCAGCACCTCCCCCTCTTGCTCACGTTTGATCCCTAGGTCTGTGGAGCCGTGTTGGATCGGTGAGCCAGGTATGCTTGAGTCAGCCTCGTTTGAGAAGTCAAAGCCATCTGGGATTCAACATATAACATTTTAGTGCTTTTCTATTTTTTTCTTGGCATTCCAACCCAGGCAGGGAAAATAGAAGATTTATGCGGACGTGGAACAAACACAAAACACTACCCATGCTTAGTTAAAAGTTGTGAGAACATCCACAGAAAGGGACAGGTGGGCTATACTGTAGACCAGAGACTAGCAAATGAATATAATGGCAACTACAGTGAAGACAAACATGACCCAGAGTCCTGAAAACAGAAGACAGCTACTTGTAATCCTGGACATCCTGATTCAGCTGAAGACCAGAGGTCATCAAATCCTTTGGCACATGATACAGAGGAGGAGGAGAAAAAAAGAAAAAAAAAGAGAAAAAAAAAAAAAAAAAAAAAAAAAAAAAAAAAAAAAAAAAGAAAAGAGTACCACAGGAAAGTATGTAATTCTTGTTTTCAGGCTCTTTTACCCTCAGTTTATTTTTAGGTTATTCTGCTTTTTACCTTCAGCCATTTATGCAGCTTTTTTTAATCAATGTTTTATACATGCAGCAAAGCTTTGTAAGTATGACAAAGTGATTTCAAAGCAAGCTTTTTGCTACACCTACACTGAAGATGTCATCATATCAAGGTAAATATTACTACATTTTTTTTGTTTTTTCTTCATACAGTCAAGCACATTTCCATATGACATAAGTACGCACTGAGGAAAAAATAAGGACTAAGCTATCCAAAACTATTTTATGACATGGTCCCTCTCGTATGACATGGGCCATATGACAGTAGGAATGTGATGTTGTTTTTTTCCTCTCCCACTGCCTTCAGTAGCGTTAGGTAGCTAGAACCCTATCAAGGTCTGGATAATACCATTCATTCTCTGAGCTATTTATGATGGGAGGCAGTTGAGTTTTAGTGTGGACAATTTTATGCCGTGTTACATGGAGAGAAAAAGAAGTCTTATTGAACATTTTCCAGCTTCTCCATTTCTCACCTACCTCATGGATTATCACCAAATCCAAAACAAAACAAACACCACAAACGTTCATGTTCATGCAGTGCTCTGAAGATGTAAAATACTACACACTGTCATGGAGTATCACTTTTCAAAAACAAACAAACAAAAAACCCCAACCAACTGTTCTGCAAACATTCAAACTCAGAAGCCAGATTACAGTGATGATGATGAATACAGTACACTACAGTATTTGCTCTTGGCAAAGAAAGCTCACCTTCTCTCCTCCAGCGATGACGACGGATAGAAGCTGTTGTAATAGCAGTCCGAGAAATCCTCGGCACTGTCGGAGTAACTTCTACTTTCAGTACCTTCTGGCCTTCTTGCGATGCATCAGGAGCATCAAAGGGCAGCGAGTTCTTCATGGCATTTGCAACCTAAGATAAAAATAAAATGCCGTACTACTACTGTTCTTGATTGCACTAGTGGCAATATTAGATCTCTTGCTGGATACAGAAACAACCAAGAACTGTTAATTATGCCAGATCCCATCCAGATGGATGGCCCCATCCCAAAGATTCACAGTTGATAACTACATTGAAAAGCTCATCACAATCCTATTCCCAGAAATATAGCTGAATTTTCTCCATTTTTTGAGGTCATTTATTTTGTTCCATGCTTGCCACCTGTACTGACAGAGGTAACAACCTACCAAAGGAGGTCTCCATCCAAAAGAGACTGCAAAATGACAAGGAAAGTACCATTTATGTTTTATGACAAGAATGCCATATAACTAAGTCACATGCCAAGCCAATGCAAACAGCATATAGCCTTGTGCATGGGGGACACAGGGC